CCTTTGATCCTTCAGCAGCAGCTGTTGTTGGCCAAAACGATTTGACCATTCTCACTGTTCATACCACAGAAACAGAAAAACTGGTGTTGCTCAGAAAAACCGTTTCCCCAAAATCATCCCCCGTAGTGGTAAAAGTGTCCAGCGATACCGATTCCTTCGGATGGCTGATTGAACTGCAGGAAGCGGTAAAGAGTGACAAAGCTGTGATTGTTTATGCCGAAAATGAACCCTTAAGTGGAGTAATAGGATTGGTGAACTGTATAAGAAGGGAGCCGGGTGGCGAGAATGTGAGATGCGTTTTCATTGCTGACGACGCGCCAAAGTTTGACATCAACAGCCAATTGTACAGGAACCAGTTAAAGAAAAATTTAGCTGTAAACATCCACAAAGACGGTAAGTGGGGAACTTATAGGCATTTGCTCTTGGAAGAGAACGTCCTTGTCGAGGCCGATCATTCCTACGTGAACACACTTGTAAGGGGTGATTTATCTAGTCTAAGATGGATTGAAGGATCTATAAAAGTTGATAAAGTTAACAACCCAGAAAAAATACCCATACAGGTAATGCTAATAACATTCCCAAAATCGAATGGAGCTGATTATGAGTTCATTTTATTATTTTCTTTTTTAGGTTTACTATTCACCCTTAAATTTCAGAGATATTATGGTAGCATCAGGAAGATTGACGTTGGACGCTGTAGAAAAAGATCGCTTGCAACATGATTTCGTGCAAGGTTTTGAATATTCTGGAAGAAACTTGAAGTAAGTATCTACAGTTGCACTAGCGTGAATTTTTATAAACCACCCTGATGCATTTTTTAAAATTCCTAGGGGAGAAAGAGTCATGGGTTTTGCCAGAGGAATAGCAACGTGTGTTTTAGCAATGCCCTATTTTTCGTGGCATGTTCCTGACGACTGGACAATGGAAGAAGCCGCCACAATACCAGTAGTTTACAGCACCGCACTCTACTCATTGTTCACGGTACGTACTTGGACATTTGCCAAATTGTGTTAAATTAGATGACCATGATACGTAAATTTCCGCATTTTAGATCGGAAAATTGAATCGGGGCGAAAGCATTTTGATCCACGCTGGCAGCGGGGGAGTGGGACTGGCAGCCATTTACATTGCTCTTTACTATGGCTGTGACATTTACACCACCGTTGGTACCAAAGAGAAGAGGGAATATTTGTTAAAGACATTCCCCCAATTGAAAGGTACATCATCATCATCATAGGGTCGTCAGTCCTAAAACTGGTTGGACTCGCACCTCCACTCTTTCCTATCCTGAGCTAATATTCGCATTTTCCCAAAACCAGAACAACCCACATCCTTGCAACTATTTGCCAATAGTAATCTAATCTAGGTATTCCCCTATCCCTCTTAACTCCTGTTTCTGCCTCTAAGAGATCTCTGACTAAACCTTCATGCCTAAAAAGGTGTCCTACCAACCTATCTCGCCTATTTCTTATTGACTTCCATAGAGTCCTCTGTTCTCCTATTCTTTCCAATACCTCTTCATTTCTAACCGTCTCTATCCAAGGTATCCACATCATTCGCCTGTAACACCACATCTCGAACGTTTCTAACCTTTTCTTTTCCGCCACGCCCACCGTCCATGTTTAGCACCCGTACAATGCCGCGCTCCAAACATACACCTTTAAAAACCCTTTTAGAATTTCTAAATTAACCGTTCGCCAGCATAGAAGTGACTTCTTTTTATTGAAGGCAGCTCGACCCTGCGCTGTCCTCTACTTTATATCCCTACTACTCCTTCCATCCTGACTTATCTGACTTCCTAGATACCTAAAATCAGCCACTTCTTCTAATTCTTCGTCTCCTATCTTTACATTCGCTCTTTCCCTACTTTTTCTTCCCTTGCATACCAGTAATTTCGTCCTTTTGACTTTATTATATTTTTTCCAGAGTCTCATATCGGAAACTCCCGAGATGTGACCTTCGAGCAAATGATCCTTCGGGAAACACACGGCCGAGGCGTCGATATCGTCTTGAACTCATTGGCAGAAGAAAAACTTTTAGCTTCTTTGCGTTGTCTTGCTCCAGGCGGAAGATTTTTGGAAATTGGCAAATTCGATTTGTCAAACAACAACCCAGTTCCCCTGTTATCCCTTTCCGAGAACCGAAGTTATCATGGTGTTTTATTGGACAGCTTGTTTAATGCTGAACCCGAAATGCTCCATAACATCTGGACTTTAGTGAACGATCACGTAAAGAACGGATGCATAAAACCGTTGCATACCAAAATATTTGCCGAAGACGAAGTCGAACAGGCGTTCAGGTTTATGGCGTCGGGAAAACACATTGGTAAAGTATTAATAAAAATCAGGGACGAAGAACCCGAAAAAATTGTTAAGCCCGTCATCAAGAAGCAGTTGGCTGTGCCAAAATATTACTGTGATTCCGAGTACTCCTACGTTATTCTGGGGGGTCTGGGGGGATTCGGATTGGAACTAGCTGACTGGTTAGTGGTTAGAGGAGCCCGAAAGGTGGTCCTAACATCAAGGACTGGATTGAGAACAGGTTACCAGGCAATGAGAATAAGGTACCCACATATAATGATATACTTTGATTATTTCCATATGTGAACAAAATAATTCGAAGTGGTCTGTATTCTGTCGAAACTGCCAAGCGCGGATACCGATTTCGATCTTTTTGGATCTCATCAGCGCGTCGCAGGCAGCTCCGACAGGTTGGTCTGTGTTCTGTCGGAGCTGCCTGCGACGCGCTGATGAGATCCAAAAAGATCGAAATCGCGATCCGCGCCTGGCAGTTTCAACAGAATACAGACCACTTCGAATTATTTTGTTCGATTATGGTAACGTGCCCATCACGTTGAGGTGAGCTACGCCGGGATTCGTTTCAGCAAGTAGATATCCATATTTTTAAATGGACCTTGCTGGAGCATACGTAATCCTAAAATGTAGCATCGTACTACAGATGGCGCTCACCACGCCATTTGTGGTATTTTCTATTTCCATATGTGTTTTAAAAACTTAGGGTTTGGCGATCTTACGGCGTCAAAGTACAAATATCAACTGCGGATGTTACAACAGAAGAAGGATGCACACAATTAATGAATGAAGCCAACGAGTTAGGACCAGTTCAAGCGATTTTTAATTTGGCAGTTATCCTTAAGGATGCTTTATTAGAAAACCAAACGGTCGACACCTACAGGACTTCCTTTGGTCCCAAAGCAAACGCGACAATACATTTAGACAAAGTTACAAGGAAACTGTGTCCTGTCCTCAGGTAAATCAGTCTTGGGTGGACACAGTTGTCTCTAATTTCAAGTCACTCCTTTTTTACAGGGATTTCGTAATATTTTCCTCGGTTTCCTGTGGTCGCGGAAACGCTGGTCAAACGAACTACGGAATGGCCAATTCCATAATGGAAAGAATTTGCGAAAAAAGGAAGAACGAGGGGTTACCTGCATTGGCAGTAGAATGGGGTGCAATTGGGGAGGTACGTTTTCAATTTTCTTTTAACGAAAAGTACGGCGTTATCAGAAGTATTTCTTAGGTTGGATTAGTGGCGGATATGCAAGAGGAACAAACCGAACTGGAAATTGGTGGAACATTACAACAACGAGTGTGCTCGTGCCTGGAAGTTCTAGACATATTCCTTCGACAAAACGAGCCCATCGTTGCAAGCATGGTGGTGGCCGAAAAGAAAAGTGGTGCTGGAGGAGCGGATAACGTTGTGGATGCCGTTCTAAATATCCTAGGTAGATACATTTAACTATTGCACCCAAACAATTTGAATGCGATCAATTTCTTGCACGCAGGTCTCAGAGACTTGAAGCAAATCAGTTTGCACTCGACACTAGCTGAACTGGGAATGGACTCTATGATGGCGGTGGAAATCAAACAAACATTGGAACGTGAATTCGAAGTGTTCTTGACGGCCCAAGACATAAGAAGCATGACTTTCTCAAGGTAAGTGATGATACGATTCATTATCGTTATCTTGTCAAGTTCTAAGACTGGTTGTAGACGTACCTCCACTCTTTCCTATCCTGAGCTAATCTGCGCATTTCCCCAAAACTACAACAGCCCAAATGCTTAACTATTTGCGAACAGTAATCTAATCTAGGTCTACCTCTACCCCTCCTAACTCCCGTTTCTGTCTCTGACTAGACCTTCATGCCTGAGAAGGTGTCCTACTAGCCTATCTCGCCTATTTCTTACTGACTTCCATAAATCTTCTGTTCTCCTACTCTAATACCTCTTCATTTCTAACCTTCTTTATCCACGGTATCCTCATCATTCGTCTGTAACACCACATTTCGAACGCTTCTAATCTTTTCTTTTCCGCCGCGCCCGATGATATGATTACAAGAAATTATTTCGGAAACAATTATTATTGATTGCCTTGTCTTAACAGACTTCAGGAGATCGCCCAGGAGAAGGAACAAATCAAAGAGGATGGTAGAAAAGAAGCGCCAAAAGACGTTGACGATCTTCCTGAGCCTATTTTGATGCTACTGCGTAACATGGGCGACGAAAAATTGGCTGACCATCCGCTCCTGAGATTGACCAGTCTGGTATCGGAAGAAACACCAACACCAAAAGTATTCCTTATGCCTGGACTTGAAGGAATGAGCCCAGTAATGGAACCACTCGCCGTAAATCTGAATGTACACGCTTTCTGCCTCCAATTCCGCTATGGTAAATCTAACGATCAAATCCATGAGATTGCCAAAGACCTATTTCCGGTAAGATATATAAATCCTTCTCAATAGGGTCTCATTTTTTTTTTAATTCATAAACACTTTTACAGCATGTCCAGGGAAATCTGCCTAAAAATTCTCCATTCACGCTGATCGCCTATTCGTTTGGATCTATGGTTGCGATGGAATTGGCAGGACTGTTAGAAAAAGAGGGAAGAATCGGGAAGATAATAATGATCGATGGATCTCCTGATCTACTGCTCGCCATGGCCAAACAACAACTCAACACCGACTCCGAGGCGGAATTCGAAACCAGTTTGCTGTGTGCCATCATGTCCTTCTATATGCCCATAGAAACCATCGTGAAATTAAAGGTAATGCTAAAAAAAATGGTAAATCCTTATCCATTTTTACTTTTGTGTACGACTCCAACCTTCAGTCCGGTCCTGGATCTCTCTTTTTGTTTGTTTGATGTAACAAACTGCTTTCGACTTTTATCATAAAAACCGAGAACCACTCAATCTATTTTAGTGCGGGTATTGACGTTTCGACATGACCAACATCAAGCTTGATAGCATATAATTATGTTTGCGAAACAAAATTTTTTTGGTTCATGACTTAAAAAGAACCATTCAACATATTTTTGCGCTGTTTTTAGTGTTTTAAAGAGCAATCTGGGAGACATTGAAAGAATATAATCAAAATCAGGGGCGGACTTGCACTTGGCATCGTAACTGAATGTGACCTTGTGATAGGGAAGTTTAAAACAATTTTTTTCAGGGTCCAGTATTTGCTTGCAACAATTTCGAAGAAAGAATGAAATTAGTGATCGACAACTCGCCAAGTAACGCGCCCCATTCCGAAGAGTACCTAAGGGCGGTGGGCCAAGGGGTATGCAGAAGACTTCAAGCCGTTGTAACGTACAAACCGAAGTTTTATTCGAAAATAAAGTCGACGGTGATACTATTCAGACCGACCAGATCTAGTGTTTCAAACATCGCTAACGATTATGGGTTAAATGATCTGTGCGAGAAGGAGGTTGAGATTAGATTTTTCGAAGGGAACCATTTGACGATTTTGGAAAATCAAGAGGTCGCAAACACCATCAACGATCTGATAAACCCTGATGTATCTTCGGTCACCAACAAAGAAACACTTTTAAGTGAAAAGTCATCGCAAAATGCCAAACAAGTCACTGCTAGTTAAACCGCAAAGGAAACAATAAGTTTTGTTGTTAGAAAAATGTACGCTATACACAAAAAAAATAATAATTTGTTTTTGTACATAAGTATTTAATAAATCGCAGTTATGGAAATGTTTTTCGTTTATAAAAAAATTGGAATCAATACAGATACATCCGCCCTATAGTGCACATTTTAAAATATGAAACCATTGTTTTTAAAACAGTTGATGGCGTAACGTTGGTAGGTACAACTAAATTAAAATTTAACGACATTAACACGAAGAATATTCAAAATAGCATCCGCCTTATAGTCCGTTATTCCACGTCTAAATTTTTTACGTAAATATTAAATTGCTCTTTCATCGTAGGACCTTATCATTTTATTAAAATCTCACCGCAAATTTGAAAATGCTTTTATTGTAGGTTACAGGGAAGATGAAGACAATAATAAAAAAAACACTTGAAATCACATTTATTTCAGTTTCGATTTTTAACAAGAAAAACACATTTATATTTTACAACACTTAGAGATCTAAATATGCAATTTATTATTCATGTACCAACCTAATAAGTAGTAAGATTATTTATTCATTTAAAACAATCTACTTACTAAGTTTCTGGATTTTTCTTTTGTAATGTGGAATGTCATTGATAGAGAGCATTTGTTTTAAAAAATAAAAAATTGCTGTAGGTAAAGTATATAAAAATCAGATCAGATTTTGTTTATTGGAATGTCAATTGTTTATTCGAATGTTTCCGTTTTGTTTTACTCTTGATATAATTTAAAACATCTGCCAGGTTTGTTTTTGAATATGCTTAAGAAAGGCAGTGATTCTTTTTTACCATAAAAAAAATAGTTAAACACTATTTTCGTTAAAAAAAAAAAGAAAAACTGATGCGACTTATTTTTAAAGGCACAGGTATATGTATATATTTGTTTTATCTTTTACTAAAAATAGCGCAACATTAATATTAAATAACTCTATTAAACTGGACTTTATTGCTTAAAATTACTGTTTATGTCTTTATGTGTAAATCGCTTGGTGCGATAAAATTTTCCGGGCAAACAGTAAACGCAATAAAATTGTTAAAATCAACAAAGAAAATTAGAAAATTTTGGGAGAAATCAAACCTGTTAACATGTTAAATGAATTACCATCGGGTTGGACATTGACGATTTTACCACTTTCAGTTCTAACTTTCAGAAAACCATAATCGTCAATACCAATAATGGTGGCATTAGTTGTTTCATTTTCAGTATTCGAAATTGTGACATTCATCCCACTGAAATAATCTTATTTAAATAATTTTCCATTTATTATTAACCTTTTACGTACCTATGCAGCCAATACTGATAATAGAGATCGTAAAAGTAATCCAAATCTCCTTTCTGAATAATATTCAGATTCTTTTCTAATTCATTGAATACATACGCGAAATACCTTTCGTATTCTATTAAAGGTATTTTTTTGTTATTAGCCTCATTGTATTTCTTAATAACATCGTTTATGCAAGTAGTAGGCTCGGAGTTGCTCAAATTCAATCCAACTCCTAAAATTCGACAAAAAAAAACAATGGGGAAATTTGCTGCGAGTAGGATAGGAAGCAGAAACAATTCAAAAGGAAAAACAAAAGAAGAAAACAAGGAAGTTGACGGAGAAACAAAAGTTATCTACCTATATTAATAATTGCCAAATCTGATTGGATCACAGAAGAAACAATTGCTCCACCAATCTTTACTTGTTTGTAGACGTAAATATCATTTGGCCATTTCATCCCTACATCCAAATCCTTAAAGAATTAGAAAATCAAAAAAAAAAAATACATTCTTATTTGACGGCCATTATACCTTGCACCCAGGTAAATTTTTTATTGCAGAAACAACTGAAACCATCACCAAATGTTGGACTAAAGGCAAATATTTGCCTAGGGGTGAATCCAGCTGTATGTGAAGTTGTAAAGAGAACATTGTACAACCAATTGGACTTAACCACGTGTTACCTGCTCTACCTGCGGTGAATTATTTTTTAGGGTCTTAAATATGGTACCTACTTTTCGTGAGTAGACTTACCGGTGGCCTTAGTCTGTTGTCTAGGGATGACGACTAAACCATGCGTTAATGTTTTTGATAACAAATGTTGCGACGACGTTAAAATATCGCTATAAATTACCAATCGACCGATTTCTTCTGTATTTAAGGTCTACATAAAAAAAAAAAACAAACTTGTTCAAGGAGGGGGTGAAACGGGGGGAAGATAATGTTACGCACCTCGAAATATTGTACCGTGGAAAAATTAGAAGGGCATGATAAAACGTAAACAGGGATTTTTGTCGAAGTACAAGTGGCACTTTCTTCATCTTTTCCGTAAAACCTGACGGTGATCTGTTCGTTTTCCAAAACGTTGTCTTTGATTGATGTGCACTCGTTTAAAAATTTTTGTTTCGACTATAAAAACAAAAGCACGCAAGAAACAATTTTTGACGATCGATAAAACAAAACAACCACAACTTACGTTGTGTCTCCCAAGAAAATATCCAGGGGTGTATTTCACATTTTTATCCTCGTTGTCACAGTCAATTTCCAAATGATGAGACAAAATGTGCTTCAATATTTCTAATCTGGCTTTATCACTACCCTTAAGGGCGGCATATTTACTTTCGTCGCCCTCGTATTCGGCAGGATCTATTTCCAAATGAACCTCAAATGTTTAATTCATTATTAGTACAGGTCCGGTCTTAATTTCAAGTTAAATTACTAACTTGTGAAAAAATTGCCCTTCCCGACGTATTTTTGACCGAGGCTAACAACAAACTGGGCGTCTGCCACGTCTCTTCGGTCCCGAGGACCTGAATTTGCAATAGATATTTTTTTCCGTTGTGCTGTATCTCAACGCTGGACGGCGTCCTGGGGGCAACCGGACTTGAACCCCTCGATCCGTTGCTAACAACGTTATTAGGTTGAATAAACTCGTTCATTATTAAATACAATGGACAATGTGATTTTTATTGTGAAATAAGCAGAAGGATATAAATAAAAACTGTTTCGCAAATCGTCAATTCAAACGATAACCTACTCAGTCCCAATAAAGTAGATAGAAAAAAAAAACAGAAGAAAACTCAATAACATTGTCAGTAAATAATAATTGAGCATCTTTAAATGTCAAAAGCGACAAATGAATGAACAGTGTGTAACAAATTCGTAAAGACATTCGCTTAAAAAATGTTGAATTACGGAAACAAAAAACGTCTCGATTGTGTCGTCATCGCGTATGCGCACATCGAATGTCTTTACAAATTCACGGATACCTTTGACTGCTCTGATCGGAATCTTTGGAAAATTGTTTTTTCGCTGGGGATGCTTGGTAACAAAACACGTGATGCATCATCTGAACCTGTTTCCAATTTCCGTACGAAAACCTGACCAATTCGTGCTCTCTGACCTACATGGGCATTTTAAATTAAACAAGTGTGAACATTACGATGAATTAAATACCTCCGCTGTGGAAAAGCATTGCAAAACACTGTACAAAAGATCGCTGCACATGCAAAAAACATGACCACCTGTTAACAGGTAATGGAGCATTTGCGAGGTCAGATTGGCAGGGACACTGCCACAAACTACCAAAAGACTTGTCGATTCTGACCATACCGAGTGGTCGGTACAATTTGCTGGAAAATCGTACAGGGTGTATCTAAAAAGGTACCCTTTATTGTTTCACCTGTTTCTAAAGCGAACTGTTCTTACTTGTTATTGTTCAGTAGCGATTGTAGAACACTTTTGATGTTGCTTTTTGTTGTGCCAGAGTCGGCAAAGACGAGGACATTCGGAGGTTTCGAAACATTGCTTCTCGGCGTTGCTTTGACATCATTAACTTTGATTTCGATTTTTTCAGATTTGTTTGCTTCTAGTACACCGGGAATGTCTTTTTCTTCAAAAGACGGTTCTCTTTTTAATTTTTTCTCCTCGCCATTTCTTAAATTCTGTTTGCGATGTTCATCTTCCTGTACCGTTTTTTCACCGTTTGGAACAACTGAAGCAGACGTTTGTCCTTTTGCAGACAAGTTGTTCTCCTTTGTTTGATGTTGATCTTCATGTGTTTTTGTGTCTCTCTTATGTTTATGCGGACTTGTTTTGACTTCTTCTTCAACTGGTTGTCTACTGGTTGTGACGTGCTTAGATTCTTTATGTTTTTCGTCTTTTTTGTGGTCGCTGTGCTTCTTCCTGTGCTCTTTTTTGTCATCTTTCGCTCTATCCCTATGCTCGCCGCCAGATTTCGATCTTTTACTCGAAACGTTCGAAACGTCGAGTTTGTTTTTTTCCCTTTTTGACTTTTCTTCTTCGTGTTTGGCGCAACTGGCCAACTTTCTGTGGTGCTCTTTTTTAATCGGTTTCACTTCCGAAACCGGGACTTTCTTCAACTCTTCGGGTTTATTTGTCGTTTCTATGGTTATCCTGGGGTGTTCCAAGTACCTGAAACCGAAACCTAACCTAACTGTCTAAAGTAATTAGAACAACGACTCATACTTTGGCGGTTCGGTGATACTATTGACCTTATGGTAAATGCCCCTGATGTCATCTACGAATTTTTTCCAATGGGACGGGGCTAACGAATACCTAAGTCTGTTCTCCAACGTGTATTTTTTATCGTATTTGATTTTTATAGGACTACCAACTACATCGACGGCTAAAACAAAAACCGTTAGCCTAACTGCGAACCCTTACGAAATGATTTTATATTACTTTCTATTTTTAGAAGTTCTAATGCGTGATTCATGTCGATTGAATGGTCGCAATATGAAAATGCGAATTTGGTTAGATTTTCTAAGTCGGTTTTTAATACCATTTCGAAATTTTCATTCACCCTCCATGCAATGGGTTCTCCGAAATTCTCAATCTAAAAGGCCCTTGAATTACCTGCCGTTACCTTAACTGTTCAAAATACACAGGGTGTAACAGAAATAAGTGCCGAACTTGCAGGAGGTTCCACCGTTTTCGAGAAAAACGTAGTTAAAGATACAAATAAATTCAATTCCGACCCTGGTAAAGAAATACGCCACGCTACGCTGCATAAAATTTTCTTTCTTTTGCGTTCGTACATTTACGTTTATTTTTATCTTAGACGGTCGATAATAGCTACTGGGTTTTTATCGCACTACGCTATTCGGTAGACACCTATGTTACCAATTCACGCACAGGACCGGCTTCGTGTTGTAAATTAATGTGATTTTCTTAAAAAATTTTTTGCTGAACTCCCTTCATAGCTCAACACTTATCTCTTTTACACCCTCTATGTATACATAAGGTGCTTTATTACGGGTAAATAAGAGAAAAATGTCATTACGGTGAAACTATTGAATACTACCCTCATATCTCACCTCTACAGTTGCGCTTTGATGTGGAGTGTAACTGTCCAAGTTCGTTTGAACCAACACGTACATTTTGGGAGATTTCGAGAAAAACTTATTGATTTTCATAAAGATCGGGAAGTATTTGTTATCTTTTGGAATAGCTGCCCATTGGGCTAGGTCTAAGACTTGCTAAAAATTCAAGAAGAATAGTACAGAATTTTACTTTATAATGATGCAAGAAAAGGGAAATGCCAGGGGGTTGATCAGGAAAATTGACTCGTTATATACATATAATAATTCGAACCAAATATGTTAGATGAAGTAGTGGTTGTTACTGTACCAACGAAAAATGGAAGGGGGGGGGATGAAAGCGTGATGATGCTTTTATGAAAATTTATTACCTTTGGTACGATGGTACAGGCTAACCTGTCGCCTTTTTGAACCAAAAGATTCTCAAGACACCTTCTCCTCTTTCTGTCCAAAAAATTCGAATTATTACAAACCAGCAGTGCGTTGTGACTATTAAGGGTACCACTTAGTTTGTTTTTCAAAACCCCCAACTTCCACCATTGCAGCGCGGTTGCGTACATATAGAACAGGGTGAATATCATCGTCTTGTTATTTCATTTGATTTCTTTCTCTTTTTATTTCTCGGTAGATTTATTTTTATTTATTCGCCATTATCATTAGTTACATTCTAAAATAAATAATGTACATGCAGGTAAAGCAGATTAATTTAAAATTAGCCCTACGCATACTTTTTTCTGAATTGTGTACCTATCTATTAAATTATTGAATTTGTATCATAAAGACGATAAACAATTGACAATTATAATAACTGAACATCGCTATAAGCTTGCTAGATCACTTAACTGGTGAACCCTCAAAGGAAAACGCACACAATGGATAGTTTTCCATCTCATTCTTAAATTAATAAAATTCAAATCAAATAATAATAAATAAAATTGAAATCTTTTCGTAATATACAAGGTGATTTTCTGATTTGTATATAAAAGTTTGTAATATACAGGGTGGTTTGAGTAGTCTCTTACACTTCGGCCAAAAATTTTGAAAATACTTTCTCTTTTCAAAATAAGTAATTTCCTAACTTCATATAAACGCAAAGTTTGATGATAGTAAAAAAAAATACGAATACGTCCCTGTATTGGCTCTCCGTTGACCAACAACACATTAAAAGGCCATAAAGGCTATTTATTACCATGTCAACAGCCACAAGCCACTATCTACGATAAGTGACAAGAAAAACAACTGAACGTTATCAAAAGCTATATATATATTAATACATAATATAAATAGTAAAAGGGACGACATCATATGTTTATTAAAAATTATTTTTCACAAAGTGAAAGTTATTTCTGAAGAGGCTACGTGATTTTCTTCACAACATTCAACTATTTGTTAGATCTGTTATTTCATTTATCCATTAAAACTATCGAGACGGTTGTTAGACTGGCAAAATTTAGTAAACAATTAACAAGATGGGTGTTTTAAATAACAATGTCCAACACAATTTTGTTAAAAACGAAGTGGGGGTCTGTTCTGTGAACAATCTCATTCGATTGGCCGTAGTTTTGATAGACAGTTGAGTGTAAGACAATTGAACAAGACAACAATCGCGACTTACCGACCGTAAGAATAAACAAGAGAGTGACTTCTCATTCACGTGTTTTAATAATTAATAGTGTGGTCATTTTTTTATTGTTTCTTTCGATTGACTTTGTTTTGGACTGTTTTTTTGACAGTTTTAAACCAGAAAAAAAAGCGTTTTTATGTTTTCAAAGGCAACAACCATAATTTGCAGTTGCAATTTTGACAAGAGTTTGTGCTACAAGAAGACCATGCTGGAAAAATTTACGAGCGAAATCAAACGAACGAAGAGAGACATAAACTGTAATGGTATTAAGAAGCCAAAAACAGTCGGTAAGCAAAAAAAATATCACCTCCTAATACACCCTAGTATGCCACCATTACATTTCGACTTCTATTGTGAGCACATTTGATAACAAAAACAAAATTATCTTTTAAAAGATCATATTTGGAGTTGATGCACCAAGAATTTTCAAAAATTTTAAATCGATAATGTTGGAAGTCAAAATAATTAACAATCCATTATAATTAGGGTTCCTTACGTCCTTATTTTATTGAGAACCCTCAAGGCCGTATTTTTTAGACCAATACCATTCAACGAAAAAAACTTTAGTTACGCAGGATCCTAAGATGATAACACCCACGATTGCCTATAAATAGAGATATAAAAGAACAACTGATGCATGTAGTAACGTTATTCAATCGTTTTATTATTTTTTTGTTTACGTAAAACGAAATTGATACATATCTACGTGGGCATAAAATGAAAATGAAGTTTTATTTTCTGTTCTTGCACAAATTTGGGGATTACGATAATGAATCCATTATCTACAAACTTACAGATGACAGTTCAACTTCAAAAGTATCACAGTTACCAGAATTACAATAATAAACATTTATAAAAGAAATAACCATTAATTACTGTAATTAGCCCCTTATCAACGCATAATTAGCAATAAAAAAATAAATATATCTTATCAAAAGCCGTTGGGGTCTTCATTTTCGTCTAATGAGGTCTCAAAAAAACGTTAATTGTGCCGATAGCAGAAAAATGCACTTGGCAAAATGATATTTTAATTTTGGTACCTAAACCTTCGACGGCGCCAGAATGATTAAGAATTATTTAATAAATAATATAATCAAAAATAATAATAGACAACCAAATCTAAACAAATTTGGTGGTATTTTCAATAATTTTTTAATCCACACCAATATTAAAAGTGTTATGATTACTTCATGCTATTGGAATGCACGTATGCATAGATACAGATATGCAACAATCATTCACCTGAATATGGACATTTAAACCCGCGCATTTCTTTGCAATTGTTTCGACAAAATAGGCGATTTTTGATTAAAGATACTTATCAAAAGAAAACATCCCAAATATCGAGAATAGGTCTAAACAGTCTTCCCATCTATTATTTAAACGTTTTGATTATTGTTAGTAGTTAACTCAAGAATATTATAACTAACAGCTATCCCAGTTATATCGATCTTGTCCACAAGGAAGAAATGTTTCTTCGTTGTTTTCCTTTTGCAATATCTTTTAAACCACTTATAATAGAGTCGGGAAAATTTTACAAAACGTAGTCTTCAAAACGATCAATTCTTTTTTTTTTTTTTCATTTTCCGTATGTTCATCAGTCGAATTTTCGTGTAGGTATATTATTTTTATGAAATTTAAAATTTAAAATATTATACTATTTAACCTTCTTCCCCTAG